GTCTTAAACAAACTCTTTTACATGCAATCAATTTAAATACGAAAAATGAAGCAAAATACCAAAAAGATATAGACAATCTTAATGACACAAATTCAAGCATGTGCAATGCTATCAAAAATATTTTCAGATATTGTAAAGAAAACAATAAACATGGTGAATTAAAGTTTTTATATTTTATTCCTTATTATCTTTTCAAAAATTAACTTTTAATTCCTCTAGATCTTAAAAAACTAAACGAGTTTTGGAAAATAACAGAATTCAAATAATTGATAGTCACTTTTATTATTCAAATTTTGAAGAAGCACTAGATGCATCTGAACCAAAAATATGTGAAATTGACGAATCCAGAGAAAATATTGAAGAATATTCTCTTCCTCGTACATTTTCTTTTTACGATGCAGATTTAAGAGATTTAGTCACCGGAGAATCCTCAAATACATTACGGAATAATGATGTTGGTGCAACTAACATGGAAGTTGTTTATGATAAAGAATTTAATTCATTTTAAAATATAAATTTGTCATATTTTCATTTTTTTTCTTTGTGTGTTTGAAGTTAAAACCAAACACCGCATTTATACACTATAATGTCTACTAATAAGAAGGATATACTTGATAAGTAAAATCGATAATGTTTTCGTTGTTAAAAATAAAAAATCATTTTGACTTTTCATGTGACTTACGTATAATGTGTATTTTTAATATTAATAATTTTTTTTAATTTTCATGTCCCATGTGATGATTTTACCTTTGCATTTAAAAATAGTTTATAAAAATTTTTACATAGCAGTTTAAAGAATAAAATTAAATGGGAAAGTAAACTCCTTTAGAATATAAAGTGAACAAGTGCATCCAATGTAATCAAAATGAACAAACAATTAGCATGAACAAAGGACATCCTTAAGAACAAAAGATTGATCACTTTTAGATTTCTTCAGACATAAGTCAAATGCATATGTAATTACAAATTATTAAGCTAGAACATTTCATTACATAATGATTAATATCTTTAATTGTTAAGTAACAATCCACTACAAATTTTTCAAAGCAAAATAAACAAAGAATTACAAATTTTCAAAAATGAAAAATAAAATCACATTCAGAACTAAAACTCTTATCAGAATATATTCTCATCATTTAAGAGCAGTTGTAATAAATGTAAGACGGCCGATTCGGCAATCCATTCCACATTTCTTGGAACGGCCAAAATTAAATTATGGAATGGCCAATATAGCAATCCATCCCACATCAAGGCAATTCCACGTACGATTTTCGAAAAAATATGGAAAGATCAAAATAACTTTCTTCAAAAAAGAAAAAAAACATTAGTAACAGCATAATATATTATATTCAAAGCAATCATCAAATTAAATTCACTTTCCTATCTACGCTTATTCTCAATAATTTCATGTCGCTTTTCTAAAAAAAATATGGAATGACCAAAATGACTTTTCTCCAAAAAAGAAAAAAATATTAGTAACTAAATTCATTAGTAACCAATAATAAATTAATTCAAAAAGTTACTTTTCTGTTCATGCTTCACGCTCGATTATTCTTTAATGGGCATTACAATATTACATTATTATTATTATTAGCTAGATAAAAATAAGTTGGTTTCAACGCT